GCTCTGCCTCTAGATAGGCGGAGCCAGCTGTCACTCACGCAGCTGGGCGGATCCCGGCACAATTGTCGGGATCCGTTCCGGCTGCGGCGTCTCAGTACACCGCGAGCAGCAGCTCCCTATATACTGAGCCTAGGGTGACGGGAGGACGCTAGTTTGCGTCCTCCCGTTACCCTTAGGAGGACTATGGGGGAAAAGCCCAGACCCCGTAGTTCTCCTTTAACTATATAATTCCCCATCAGGCCTGTAACTGTCAGTCTTGCAATGGCTCATGGGACTTGTAGTTCCACAACATCTGGAGGGTCGGAGCTGCCCAATCCTGATCCAAGTGCTCAGAATAGGATCCTGCATGGAGAAGGCTTGAACCTGTATGGGAAAGCGGTGTGCGCGCCCAGCTTGAAGCAGCCGTCCACATCGCTCTCACACCAGCCGATGCCCATGTGTACAAGGCCTCCGACATCTTCTTATTAAATACCCCGCAATCCACACGCCCGTCGTTCACACAATCAATAAAGATTTCTAAGCCCAGTGCAGTCTGCACCACCAGAGAGGTGACACCGCGGCAGGATGTCATCAGGACATTCAAGTAGTTATTTCCCCAGACGCAGAACTCGTGTAGCTTCCCCCTGTGATTGGAGAGGAGACAATGGGGCAAAGGGGGGGGGGCTCCACCCGGCACAAACATTCAAACATTTCAGCTCGGAGGGGGCAGTGGTGAGACTTTCTCATCGCGACTCTTCAAATTTGTTTTTAGAGCTTAAAAGGAGAACTATGGGGGGGGTGCTTTTCACTCACCTCATAGTTCTAGCCGACCTGTGACAAGGAGACTGTCACAGGTGGGCTCAGTAGATCGGGAGGTGAGCGAACACATACCGGCGCTCGCTCACCTCTCGATCATGTCACCGCAGAGAGCCGTGACAGGGGAGGGGCTGGATTCCCCTCTCTGATCCTCCAGCGCTGACTGGCGGAACGGACGGGGGAGGGGGCGGGTACAGCTGGCTCTGCCTCTAGATAGGCGGAGCCAGCTGTCACTCACGCAGCTGGGCGGATCCCGGCACAATTGTCGGGATCCGCTCCGGCTGCGGCGTCTCATTATACCGCGAGCTGTAGCTCCCTATATACTGAGCTTAGGGTGATGGGAGGACGCTAGTTTGTATCCTTCTGTTACCCTAAGGAGAACTATGGGGAGAAGCCCTGACCCCATAGTTCTCCTTTAAGGGACAAATCTGAGGGGGAGACAAGAAGGCAGCACGCGATTGGACGGCCACACCAAGCTGAAATCTCTGTACTGGGGGGAGTTGCCGCTTAAGCTTGTGCGGTCTCATCGCCAGGCGCGGTTGAGAAGTTTGACCTGTGCCAGTCTTTTGGTGATCATGGTGGCAAAGACCAGGCCGATGAGAACGCCGCTGATGAGGATGTAGTCGTAGTCGTCCTTCAGGACGTCGAACTGTTTGGAGGGGTAGACGCGGGTCTGGTAGATGTCCAGTCCGTAGGCCACGACCTGCAGGGACAAAGGTAGAGAGTGTCACACTTGGTGAATGGACAACAGCGGGGACAGGAAGGAAGTGTCAGACTGGGTGAATGGACAGCCACGGGAATAGGAAGGGAGTGTCAGACTGGGTGAATGGACAGCCACAGGAATAGGAAGGGAGAGTCAGACTGGGTGAATGGACAGCCACAGGAATAGGAAGGGAGAGTCAGACTGGGTGAATGGACAGCCAGGAGAATAGGAAGGGAGAGTCAGACTGGGTGAATGCTGTCACTCACGCAGCTGGGCGGATCCCGGCACAATTGTCGGGATCCGCTCCGGCTGCGGCGTCTCATTATACCGCGAGCTGTAGCTCCCTATATACTGAGCTTAGGGTGATGGGAGGACGCTAGTTTGTATCCTTCTGTTACCCTAAGGAGAACTATGGGGAGAAGCCCTGACCCCATAGTTCTCCTTTAAGGGACAAATCTGAGGGGGAGACAAGAAGGCAGCACGCGATTGGACGGCCACACCAAGCTGAAATCTCTGTACTGGGGGGAGTTGCCGCTTAAGCTTGTGCGGTCTCATCGCCAGGCGCGGTTGAGAAGTTTGACCTGTGCCAGTCTTTTGGTGATCATGGTGGCAAAGACCAGGCCGATGAGAACGCCGCTGATGAGGATGTAGTCGTAGTCGTCCTTCAGGACGTCGAACTGTTTGGAGGGGTAGACGCGGGTCTGGTAGATGTCCAGTCCGTAGGCCACGACCTGCAGGGACAAAGGTAGAGAGTGTCACACTTGGTGAATGGACAACAGCGGGGACAGGAAGGAAGTGTCAGACTGGGTGAATGGACAGCCACGGGAATAGGAAGGGAGTGTCAGACTGGGTGAATGGACAGCCACAGGAATAGGAAGGGAGAGTCAGACTGGGTGAATGGACAGCCACAGGAATAGGAAGGGAGAGTCAGACTGGGTGAATGGACAGCCACAGGAATAGGAAGGGAGAGTCAGACTGGGTGAATGGACAGCCAGGAGAATAGGAAGGGAGAGTCAGACTGGGTGAATGGACAGCCAGAAGAACAGGAAGGGAGTGTCAGACTGCGTGAATGTACAGCCAGGAGAATAGGAAGTGTCAGACTGCGTGAATGTACAGCCACGGGAATAGGAAGGGAGTGTCAGACTGGGTGAATGTACAGCCAGGAGAATAGGAAGGGAGAGTCAGAATGGGTGAATGGACAGCCATGGGAATAGGAAGGGAGAGTCAGAATGGGTGAATGGACAGCCAGGGGAATAGGAAGGGAGAGTCAGACTGGGTGAATGGACAGCCAGGAGAATAGGAAGGGAGAGTCAGACTGGGTGAATGGACAGCCAGGGGAATAGGAAGGGAGTGTCAGACTGGGTGAATGGACAGCCAGGAGAATAGGAAGGGAGAGTCAGACTGGGTGAATGGACAGCCAGGAGAATAGGAAGGGAGAGTCAGACTGGGTGAATGGACAGCCAGGAGAATAGGAAGGGAGAGTCAGACTGGGTGAATGGACAGCCACAGGAATAGGAAGGGAGTGTCAGACTGGGTGAATGGACAGCCACAGGAATAGGAATGGAGAGTCAGACTGGGTGAATGGACCACCACAGGAATAGGAAGGGAGAGTCAGACTGGGTGAACGGACTGCCACGGGAATAGGAAGGGAGTGTCAGACTGGGTGAACGTACAGCCACAGGAATAGGAAGTGAGTGCCAGACTGGGTGAATGGACCGCCACGGGATAGGAAGGGAGTGTCAGACTGGGTGAATGGACAGCCACAGCAATAGGAAGGGAGGATCAGACTGGGTGAATGTACAGCCACGGGAATAGGAAGGGAGTGTCAGACTGGGTGAATGGACAGCCAGGAGAATAGGAAGGGAGAGTCAGACTGGGTGAATGGACAGCCAGGAGAATAGGAAGGGAGAGTCAGACTGGGTGAATGGACAGCCAGGAGAATAGGAAGGGAGAGTCAGACTGGGTGAATGAACAGCCACGGCAATAGGAAGGGAGAGTCAGACTGGGTGAATGGACAGCTGCAGGAAGTAGACAGTGACTGATGTGTACTGCTTACCAGGCAGGTAGACTCCAGGCCCGATGGGGCCGTGTAGAGTCCTTTCATCCGGGACACGGTCTGGTTGTAATTGATGAAGCGTTCGGCGTGAATCTGAATGTCGGGCGTGTAGGGGATCAAATTCTCTTCTCTGCCAGATACAAAAGCACAGCGCACATTATATGTATACGAGTCTCTCCCAAAAAGTACACCAATCCCAACAAGCCACCGCCCACAGATCTGACCTCGTGTACTCCGTTGGGATCTCAGGCCGGCGGGGGTCCAGTAAAGCCTTGGGAAGGGAGAAGATCGCCCCAGATGGGAGTCCAACTGTGGACACAAATGAAACGTTACACAGCCAACCCTCTCTACCAGTCCGGGTCACCACTGGCACTAGGACACAGAATGTGATGGGAAATCCAAAATCATACAGTTGTCACCAGAACAGGAATAGAGGTGAAATCTACTAAATGGGGACACCTGTTCTAGTGACAACTAAGAGGTAAATTACCTCCATTTGCAGAGATTTCCCCTCACTTCCTGTTAAAATATAGATTTTTTTGCATATCTTTGAAGCGACAAATGCTTTGCCAGCAGCGCGTACTCACTGAGGATGTGGCGACTGGTTATCCCACGCTCGGTGATGGTGGCCTCCATGGCGCGTATGGTGGAGGGGAAGATGTAAGACTGCTGCAGGACGTGCGGGAGGTGCGGCCGGTCCAGGGAACTAAAGATGGTGCTGTTGTACTGCTCCGTCCCTTCGTAGAGTTCCAAGACCGTCAGCTCGTTCCGGCGCGCCTTGCTGTTCCAGTACTGGTACTGCAATGCGGGAGAGAGGAGGAGACGGGTGGGGGCCCAATGAGGAGACGGGTGGGGGCCCAATGAGGAGACGGGTGGGGGCCCAATGAGGAGATGGGTGGGGCCCAATAAGGAAGGTAAAACAGGAAGGAGGGGAGAAGACAAAACATTCCTGGCACTTACCACCACCCAGTTCTCAGAATGGACGATAATGACGGGGCCCCGGGCTTTCCTCTGCACGGAGGAGTGAATGATGCGCCCGGTAACTCCATCGATCAGATATATTCCTATGAAGCAGCGGTCGGGGTGAGTGTCGGTACTTTCTGTCACCAGTGCCATCATGTTGGGGTTCAGGTACTAATGGGGGGAAAAAAATCATCATTAATATACTTACAATAAACATCTGTTACATCAAGGCATTTTGAAATTACATTTTTCTTTAGAATAAAGAGTCCAAAATATAAAAAACAGCAATTATAACATAGCTTTAGCATTATATTATGTTAACAGGGCGCAGATAAGATACCACAGTCAAAACTGTGGAGGGCACTGATCATTTTCACCACTACCATATAAGGATGCGTGTACGGGCAGCGTGCGACCGCTTCTACTGTAAAGTCGTACGACTTTTGTCCTTCAAGCACGCTGGAAAACCTGCCGAAAATCGTACGATTTTTGGCGGGTTGGTGGCGTGGTCGGAAGACGAATGCCGCACGGGCCGGTGTGCCCACTCAGCACTGCAATCATCGGAAGTCCTCCCCTCAGCGGGGCGGGCTTGCCATGATCGCAAGTACGATCTGCCTGTCCAAGATGGGCGGATCGTACGAGATTTTAATGACCTTACAACCATCGCACAACGAAAGTCGTGCGATGGTTGTAAGGTGTATGGCCAGCTTAAAGCACAATAATACACTGCTCAACAACGTTACACCTCCACACAAAATAATACACAACCCCTTATTAACCCCCCACATAAAATACGCTCCCCCCTTATTAACCCCCCCCACATAAAATAATACACTCCCCCCTTATTAACCCCCCACACATAAAATACGCTCCCCCTTATTAACCCCCC